GTGGAAAGTTCAAACCCCCCCCCCCCAAAAAAAAACACGTCTAGCTCACATTTTACCCTAAAATGTAAAAATTTATTTCACATTAATTAAGTCTATTTTTAGGATCAATAAGATTTCTTGCATCACAAGATTATTTTCATGACAACTAAAAGCACCTTAACACATTACCATAATGAATGAGGCTTTTTGTTTTTCTTAATAGTGATTCTTGTATTAAAGTGCATAAAAATCATGTATTTATATATATATATATATTTATATATATATTTACAGTATTAAATATTACCTTTTAATTAAATAATATTAATACTAATACAATTAATTTGATTTAAAATCAATATAAAACTTACAAGATCTATAACTACTGTAAAATACAATAAATATTCTGCAATGAGAATAACATTTGCATTTGTCTTATGGTAATGATAATTTTGGGGAATATGTGTAATATAATTTCCTTAATAAAAATTTATATTTATGCTGCAAAAACTAAAATTCATTTTTTTTATGCACAATATTCTTATTTTTTTCTTTTTAGAGTGAAATGTGATCTTGACATATTCTCGCCAAGTTTCATGAGACTCACCTTTAAAAGAATAATAAATGATTGTATAAAAGTCATGAGTGGTGAACAGCTTCAATGAGGCACACATTTTCCCCTCATCGCCTACAGCTTTTTAGACATCCAGACCATTTTAACATTCAGTCAGTGTCTTTCCCCCTCCCAGCCCTAAGACTCTGGATGAAACGTGAGGGCCATGAATGTAATGTTTAAAGTAAAGCAAAGCATTTCACATGGATTTTGCCAGATATCACCAACAGCAATGCATATACAAAGCTGTTTTTCCCCATCCTTTTCAGCAAATGCCAAAAAGTATTCCCAGCAACCCTCAGCATGACATTAGAGAGATCATAACCCAGTATTTGCTTCTGTTAATCATGGTGGCCTTTAAAAATGATCCAAAAACCTAAAAACTGTTTCAGCCTGCCGACATTGACTTTACTATTTTCAGCTATTCCCTTTTCTTAGCTTTATTCAGAGGATAAAGCTACAGTCTATGAAATGATAAACACAGTTATCCTAACCTACCTGAGCCCAACCTTTCTTCTCTGAGCTTTCTTCTCCTTTCTTTAGACTTTTATCCCCAGCCACTATAATTCAACCAGAGACGAAGCACATTCAAGGTCATATTGCTGCTCTGTAGACAAAATATGTTGTGAAATAACGTACAATGTCAGCTGCTATAAATGGCATTTTGTGTTCACATATGTGAAGAAACCAACCTGTATGTAGCATGCATATTTTTAAAATCTCTAATTCTAGTTAATGTGTGAACTTCACTATATAATCCTCTTACAAAAGGTAATTTTTTAGTAAAGCCTTTGGTCATAGTAAAAGATCCTGTTTGAATTCAAATTTCTTTCTTTATTTTTTTTGCCTTTATATAGTGCATCTCTGCATATTAAAAGCATTATCAAGAGATAATTATGCAGAATACTGATGTGGTTTCAAACAAAGCTAAATACGAAAATGCTGACCACTGAGCAAGAGCATTAATTACAGGTCTATGATAGTCAAGTCAAGTCAAGTCACCTTTATTTATATGGCGCTTTATACAATACAGATTGTCAAAGCAGCTTTACAGTGTTAACCAGGAAATACGTGTGCTGATAATGCAAGAGCACAATAGAAAACAGTCAGTTTATCAGTTAAAGTCAGTTCATTGTTGATTCAGTGATGTCATCGTCCAGCTCAGTTCAGTTCTCTTCCAATTGTGTCTGTGCAGTCAAGTCAACAAATACAACAATACAGCATAAAAATAATGAAATGAATGATAATATATTAATATGTACATAGCATTTTCTTTGCAAGCTCTAACTCACTCTGTCTTAAATATCAAAATATGACAACTAAGCTGACAATAAGAACTGTGATTATTCTGTGTTTGATTAATGGTGTACTGTGTGTATGTGTGTGCGTGACAGAGTGAGACACACAGCAATCTAGTCTGATGTGAATGCATGCACGTGATGTGAATAAAGTCTAGGTGAAGTAAGAATCGAAAGAAAATCTAAATTGCCATTCAGCTGTGCTCATACACTACCACATTCAAGATCATGCACCAGGGTTGCCACACCTTTTGACTAAAACATTTGCATGATTTGTCTATGACTTTGTCCATTTGTTATAGCTGATAAAAGCTTTTAGATCTGAGCATAACTAGAAAAATGGATGGAAACCTAAATGATGGAGACTGTCTAAAATTTCCTGATAATTGCAGGTTTTACAGGACTATGGGAACTCTGACGCTGACATTAAAGGAATAATAGTTCACCCAAAATTGAAAATTTGCTGAAAAACTTACTCACCCTTAGGCCATCCAAGATGTAGATGAGTTTGTTTCTTCATCAGAACAGATTTCAAGAAATTTAGTATTATATCACTTGCTCACCAAGTGATACCCGCTACAGTGAATGGGTGCCGTCAGAATGAGAGATTAAACAGCTGATAAATACATCACAATAATCCACAACATGACTCCTATCCATACATTAATGTACTGTGAAGTGAAAAGCTGCATGTGTGTAAGAAACAAATCTATCACTAAAGCATTTTAACTTTAAAGTGTCACTTCTACCCAAAATACCAGTCCATCATCTGTAATAATGCTTCCTCCAGTGAAAAGGTCAATCTCCTGTTGAGCATATTTCTCTCCTAATTCAGATGATTTTTCACAGAAGAAAGCAGTATTATGTTAAAACTTTGGGTAACACTTTACTTGAAGGGGTGTGCATAAGACTGACATGACACCTTCATAATCATGACATGACACATGTCATGAATATGAAGGAGGTTTTATGCATGTTTATGACAACTGTCATTAAGTGTCATTCGCTCAGTTATGTCATTTTTAATGCAAATATGACATTATTTGACCCAACCCTAACCTAACCCTACCCC